TGTAATGAAGAAAATGGGTTTGTGATGAACGAGAAGAATGAATGTGTTTGTCGACCATCAACTGGTTATAATGCTATATTCAGAAAGTGTCAGCCTTGTAGAGGTGATTGTGATACTTGCACTGACAACTATGCTGTATGTGAAGGAAGTTGCAGAGGAAATGCTTCTATCTCAGATAATTGTGGTTGTGTTGAGAACACTTACCACTGCAATGAACATGATTGTTGTGAGTGTTCAATTCTTCATAGTCATTGTTTATATTGTGATAGTATTAATTGTGAACAATGTGAGTCTGAATATGTTCTTAAAAATGGAAAATGTAAAGAATGTCAAGAGGTATTTCCTGGGTGTTCTTCTTGTAACAAAGGGAAGTGTAAAGGATGTGTTGATGGGTATTATAAAAATGAAGAGTCATGTATTAAATGTGCTGATCATTGTATTAGTTGTAATGAAAATATTTGTAACGGATGTCAAGTTGGTTATTATGTAAATGGCAGTAAGTGCGAGTCTTGTTCACCTCATTGTAAGAGTTGCAAAAATGAAACCTTATGTTACTCATGTGAAGATTTATATGAATGGGATACAACTAAAAATGAATGTGTTTTAGTCGAATCAGATGATGAGAGCACTAACAGTTCAAAAGAATCAATTGTTTCTATTAGCTTGATGATAGTAGCACTTTTATTTATTTAAAAAGAATAAGTAACTTATATTTTCTTTTTTAATAAAATAGAGTATTTATTTTTGTTGAGATTTCAGTGTTTTAGACGATAATTCGATTTTCATATGTTTATCCATTTCACTTAATGGAATTAAACGATGACAAAGAGGACACTCTTGTTTCATTTCTCCATACTGATTTCCTTTCTTTATTTTAGATACCTCATCTTTATCACTTTGGTTTTCTTCTTCTTTGGTTTCTTGACTTATTTCTTCTTCATTACTTTGTTCCATTTTATCTAAGAATATGTTTTGATGTTCTGCCTCAATAAACTCATCGAAGTCAATTGTTTCAACAACTACAAAATCATTCCAATTGATAGAAAGATTTAATTCTTCTTCTCGTTTTTTATCTTCTTCAGTTTTCTTTTTCATTTCTTCAATCTCCTTTTCATAGTCTGCTCTCATCTTAGAGTATTTAATGAGGATTTGTGTATTTCCCATTGTTTTGTTGAGAAATTGAATGTATTGTTGTTTTGGATGAAGACATTGATTGTATGATTCACATAATTGAGCAAAATAAGGATAATTTGGATGATTTTTGTGAAGAAATGCAAAAGTAGGATTCTTCTGTTCTCGTTCAGCAAGAGTTTTTACAAAATTACTTCCATTTCTTGCTGTGTATTGGGCTGTCAGTTTAATGATTTCATCTTCTTCTTGAGTTATATAAGGTCGATGAATTTCAAATCGATTTTTTATTGGTCGTGGTGGCATCAACAAATATCACTCAAATGATAATTGAGTGTTCTGATAATAAATTCGATATATAAAACATAAATTTAATATGGTTTTTTTTTATTTTCATCAATAAGAAAAAACACTCACAAATAAACTGATGGTTGAAAGACATTTCAATCATTGTTATATACGAGGTGTTGATAAGGGAATGAGTTTAGTTTAATAGAATTAAACCATGTATTGTCGAATTATTAGAACACTTTAGATTATTGATATGTTTAATAAGAATAAGATTAAGAAAAAGATTCATTAGAAAGTTCCATTACAACAAGAAGGTTCTTCATTCTCATTATTCACAATAGAAAGTCCACACTAATAAGTCAATTATTTTCAAGACTAATGATTGATGAACAACAAGAAATGGTTGTCAAACATAGTAAATATTTTGCACAATGGACAGAAAGACATTACGGATATAAAAAAATCTTTGATACTGCTGTAAATGGAATTTCTAACTTAAGATTTAACAAAACTGTTATGAATATCCCCCATTTATTATTTATTTGTTTTGGAGATTATGGAAATGTTTATGGAACTTATTGTGAATTTCCAATCACAACATTAGATATTAATTCTCCTGACTTTGAAAAGAATAAAAGTTCACATAATTTCATTTTCACACTAAATTCTAACGGAAGACTTCAAGACCCACAGAAATTTGAATTAGTTAATGGAAAAAGAGGATCTATACAACTTCATGAAATGGATGATCCATGTTTATTTGATTTTGGTTATGGATCATCTAGGGTTTATGTCCATAAACCAACATCTAAAAAGGGGTATTGTAAAAATTTATCAAGGAGTTATGAAAGGATTAAAGATAATGAATTAATTGGATGTATGTTTCCTCAACCATTCCATACAGAACGAGTTATTGTTCTACAAATGTTATAAACAACACAAATTTATTTTAATTTTTGTTATTAGATTATTTATTCAAAAAGATTTTTATAAGAAAAGAAAAACAAAAAAAAGAATATAAATAACAAAAAAAAAATAAAGAAAAAAAGGAACTAAAAAATAAAAGAAAAGGAGAGAAAGAACTAAAAAAGCAATTAAAGTCGAACTAGAACTTCAAAAAAATAACACAAGAGAAATGTCAACACTTCCAGCAGTAGTTCTTGATAATGGTACGGGATATACAAAAATAGGATATGCAGGAAATACAGAACCAAGTTATTTAATTCCATCATTAATTGCTGTAGATTCAAAAGCAGATTTAACTACAGCAACAAAATCAACAGAAGATTTTGATTTTTATATTGGACAAGAAGCTGAAAATGCACCAAAATCATATACAAAAACATTCCCATTAAAACATGGACAAATCGAAAATTGGACATTAATGGAAATGTATTGGGAACAAGCTATTTTTAAATATCTTCGATGTGATCCACAAGATCATTATTTCCTTTTAACTGAACCACCAATGAATCCACCAGAAAATCGTGAATATTTAGCTGAAGTCTTTTTTGAAACATTTAATGTTCCAGGAATGTATATTGCAGTTCAAGCAGTTTTAGCTATTGTTGCATCATGGTCTAGAAAAGATAATAATCCAGCAAATGCAAGATTAACTGGTACAGTTATTGATTCAGGAGATGGAGTAACTCATATTATTCCTGTTGCTGATGGATATGTTATTGGATCATCAATTAAAAGTATTCCATTAGCTGGAAAAGATATTACTGCATTTATTCAACAAATGCTTGTTGAAAGAGAAGAACCAATTCCAGCATCTGAACGTATGGAAATGGCAAGAACAATTAAAGAAAATTATTCATTTGTTTCTAAAGATATGGCTAAAGAATTTAATATTATGGATTCAGGAAGTGATCCAAAATCATCATTTAAGAAACATCAAGCCATTGATCCAATTTCAAAGAAACCATATACATTTGATGTTGGATATGAACAATTCCTTGCACCAGAATTATTCTTTAATCCAGAAATTTTCTCATCTGATTTTACTACACCATTAGCAGATCTTGTTGATGATTCTATTCAATCATGTCCAATTGATTGTAGAAGAGATCTTTATAAGAATATTATTTTATCAGGTGGTTCTACTATGTTTAAAGGTTTTGGACATAGATTACAAAGAGATGTTAGAAGATTTACAGATTTCCGTACTCAAAAAGCTGTTCAATTATCAGGTGGTAAATTACAACCAAAACCAATAGAAGTTAATGTAGTTTCATATCCTTATCAACGTTATGCTGTTTGGTATGGTGGTTCTGTTATGGCAGAACTTCCAGTTTTTGTTCAACACTGTCATTCTAAGGCAGAGTATGAAGAAAAAGGACCATCAATTTGCCGTTATAATCACGTTTTTGTTGCTTGCTAAACATTTTAAGTAACAATTTTCCATCATTAAATCTTTTTTATTTTTTTAATTATTTTTTTTGTTATTTATTTTATTTAAAATAAATTAGAATTTATTTAATTTATTTAATAATAATTTATATTATTATTAAATAAATTAACTTTTTAATTTTAATGTTTTGATTTAATTAACATTCATGGCTCATCAATTAATTAAAGAATTCTTGGAATTACAACCTTCATTAGATTATCCTACTCTTCATTTAATTATTTATAATGTCCCTAAAACATTTGATAAATCTCAATTTTTCTTATTATTTCCTTCTAATATCAAAATTACTTCTACTGATTTTACTTGTCTTCATCTTCATTTTGTCATCATTCAATTTAATTCAGTAACTGATTCTATTATATGTTTTCATAAAATTCATTCAAAACAATTTTGTGGAAGGTACTTATATGTTCAATTTGGTTATCAAGTCATCTCAAATTTACCTTTAAATTATATTCGATTAAAGTATATAGCAAACATTACTTTTGAATCTGTTCTTCATTATTTTAGTTTCTTTGGAAAAGTAAGAGCAATCACTCAAGATGGTAATGATTATCTTTGTGAATATAACTCTATTAGTGAAGCATCTAATGCTTATAATATTATTTCCAATCATACTATCACTAAAGAAATGGAAAATATTTTAGGATTAAACCAACCACAGAATCTAATGTGTGATTGGTATATTCCTATAGATTTAAAATACAAACATCTCATTAATCAAACACAAACAATGGGTATTATTCCACAAAATATCTTGGCATTACCAAGTAATAGTTTGATGGCATCAATTATTTTGACATATTACAATAAGGAAGAAAATGAGAAATTAGATTTGATAGGTGTAGATTGGAGGGATGAAGATGAAAAAAAGACTAAATCAATGGAAGAAGAAAATAAAGTATTGGAAAATGAGAATGAAGTTCCTGTGCAAAAAATACCAGAAGTGAAAGATGAAGTTCAAATACCTAATGAAGTATTGTCTCAAACAAAACAAAATCAATCTCATGATACTCTTTTAAATTATGGCAATGAAACTATTATTCTTGTAGATGAAGATAAACCAAATACTGAAATTATCCTACTATCAGATAGTAAAGACCAAAAAGAACACCATGAAATACTTGAAATTAAAGAAGAAATCAATCAAACGCAATCACGTTCTGTTGTTAATCAAGAAAAGCAAACTTCTCTTATCACAAAAAATGAACAAACAAAAGATGAATGGGATTTCGATCTTGAACTTTCACCACAAGAAATAAATCATTTACAATCAAAATCAATGGTTGATTATCAACAACAATCTTCAATACAAGAAAAACGTCTTTCTCCATTTGATGGTCTTTACCTTTCAAAGTATGATTATCCTGATAGAAATTATAATGAATCAAGGAATAGAAGCAATTCAAGACATAGAAAAGAATCTCGCTATTATCAGAAATCTTATGATAGATGTAACCAAAGACATTCTCAATCACAAAAACGTCAATCTTCTATTCAAATTAAACCTAACAAATCTCTTCCTTCTTCTAAGAAAACTGAAAAGATAGTTAGTTCATTTCATCCTTATAAACAGACAAAAGAAAGAGTTGAATATCCAACTAACACTACTAATGAAAAGAAAGTATCCAGAACATCTTCATTCTACAGTCAGAATGGAACAAATGAATGCATAGATATTGTTTTTACTCCACAACACCAGAATCAATTTGAAATTAAAAGAAATCAGATATTAAATGAAAGTATAAGTCGTAAAGATGTTATTGAAAAAGAAATAACAAATACTAACACTTCAAAAGAATCACAGAAATTAAACAATATTTTTATTCCTCGTTGCATTCAAGAAGAATTAGAAAGTTGGACAGCATTTTAGTTTATATCAATTATTTTAATATTAATGTAAATGTCCATTAAATTATATAAATTTTTCATTCTATTTTGTTTGGAATTAATGGTTATTTAATATTATCTATGATATTTAATTACTTAGTGGTTAGTATTTGTCTTTTGTTAACAAAAAAATAAAACTTAATCATTTTTATTCATATTATGAAGTATTTAAATAAAGATTAAATGAGAAGTTCTATATCATTTGTTATTTCAATTGAATTTCATAACCATGTTATTGTTAGATTGTTACAATTTGGTAATTTTGATTGTAGACTTTGAAATTGAAACACATTTTAAACTCAATAGAAGTGTCATAAAAGAGTTGTATGGTATATTTTATGTGTTGTTTAAATAAACTATAAATTGGTTTAACTCTCTGTTATTTTCATTTTATTGTAAGTGTTTTATGAATAAAATAACACTTTTTGTTCAATTTTTTGTTTGTTCATAATAAGACACTCATTTATGTTAAGTGATTTAGTAAATAGTATTGGGGTTTGTTTTCTCTTATAACCTTTCTATTGTATTTCATAGTTTTTTATTTTCCTTTATTAATGAATGTATTTGTATTTAATTTATTCTTTTATTTAATTAACACAAAGGAATAATTAAATTATTACAACCAGATTTTATTGTTTATCAATAAAGAATTAAAGAATAATATGATATGTTCTATTCAGTATTTGTAGAATTCTAAAGGAATATGAATGTCTTATTCTGTTATACAAAGATAGTATTGTTGTTATTGATATGTTTGTATTTAGTTATTGGATTTTATTGATGTACTACTTAATTTATAAGAGAGTTCATGTTGTTTTGATTATGATTAGTCAAAGAGTGTTTCTTTGTCATCAACTCATTAATACCATGGTGTAAACAAATACTAGATATAGACTCGTTACAATAATACTTCCAAAGACTGATAAATTTAATAGATGAAGTAATTTCATGTTTTGGACAGAGCTTTTTGGTGTGACACTTGAAGTTCATTGTGGGTTGAATGGGAGATAGAGTTGTTTATGGTTTGAATCAAGAGATAGTAAAAATAAAAGTAATAGAGAAGGAATAACAAAGTGACCAACGAATAGTTATAACAAATAAAATAACCTGATAATCAATAATAATGAGGAAAAGTTTCAAAAATAATGAATAAGATGAACTAGAAAATAAATAATTGAACTATTTAATTGAAGATAGTAGATCAGTAAATTATAAAAGAAGAGAAATGAAACAACTTGATATGGTTTATTTAATGAAAGTAGCACTTCATGTCAAAGACATGAATGACATTCAAAACATTGAAACGATTAACAAGAAATGTGGAATTGCAATTAACTCATTGAAAGTTAATCCATGGTTTACATCAGAAAGAGATATTAATAAGTTTTGTAACATATTTAATCCACCAACATGTAATTGTAATTTACTTCCTGTTGATGAATCAGTATTAATGAAAGTTGAGAATATTAGAAATTATAAATTAGACAGTTTCAATCACCCAGTAAAAATGGTAAATCCAAACAATCAATTTAATCCACAACATCAAAAAATGACAGAAGAAGAAAAGGAGCGAATGGTTAAAATTATACAAAAAGTTGAGTCTATGACATGTTTTTCAAATATTACAGAAGAAATGATTGAACTTGTTATTCAAAACATGAAGAAAGGAATTAAAATAAGAACTAATGAAATTTGTGCAAAGCAATTTGATGAAATCTTTGATAAAATGAAAACAGAAGAATCACTGTATCCAAGTGAAATGATAATTTATGGAAGAGTAAACAATAATTGGATTAAGGCTAGAGAGAATAAAAATATCATTGTTATTTATGAAACAAGAGAACCTTTTGAATCTAAAAGTGAAGTAAAAATACCAAAAGGTATTAGAGTTTATTCTTCAAAGATTCTTTTGTCGGAACCAAATAATGAAACAAATATTAAATTTGTTAGATCACCAGTTGACTCATTATTTTCAAATGTAAAATTAGAGTCATTTGATTCATTTAGAGATGCTGATATTTCTAGTGTTAGATTAAGTATAGAAGATATTATTAATGAAGAGAATAGAAAGAAGGTTTATAAGATTCTTAATGATCTTTATGCAAACTCAATTTCAATTAATGAAAATACTCAACCAAGGTCTGGCCAAAATCAAGATTTAACATTATTTGAACTACCACGATTACCTGAATATATCAAATACCTTTGTGTTTATTCAACAAATTCAAATATTGTAATTAATCAACAAAACATTGAAGATTTAGAAATCCACTCATTAAAACCTTCAGTTGAATTTTATTTATCAATACCTTCAGCTGAGTTTTATCCATTAAAGTTTTCACTTGAACTTCGTTCTGTGAAAAATTTGAAAAAATTAAAACTAAATGGAGTTAATAAACTAAAGATAAATGAAATGAAAGAGGAACAAGAAAATAAAACACCAAATAACAGAAGATATTGGAAAATAAAAGAAGGTACAAATACATTCCCAAATCTTGAAGAACTTCGATTAGACTATTGTAATTTAAATACTAGTTTAGTATTAAATAAATTAAAGAGTGTTGAAGTAATTAATTGTAGAGAATGTAAAATCAATATTAAATCAGATTGTATTGAAAAATTGAAATTAGAAAGAGCTATTCAAACACAATTCAAATTATCAACAAATAAATCAACTGATATTTATATTAAAGAAGGTGATACTTTCACATTAGAAATAGAATCTGATAATGAACAAAACATTGAAATAATAAAAGGAAATCAGATTAATGTAAAATCAAAATGTCCAATTAACAAATTAATAATAGCAGAATCTAAAGAAGTGAATATTACAGGAAATGAAAAATGTAATACAATGAAAGTTATTGAATCTACAATCAATGAAATTGATATTAAACCAAAAAGAATTATATTTAAATCAATTGAAGAATACATTAAAGTACCTCTGAAAGAAGCAGAGGAGATATATGTTGTATCAATGAAAGATTATATCTTTGAAGAATTATTTGATAAATGTAAGAAATTATGTATTGATGAATGTGAGAATTGTCAATTCATAATCAACAAGAATCAAATCAAAGAAATGAAAATAACAAAATGTAAAAATACAGAAATCACAGGGAAGTTAGATAATATTGAAGAACTCATCACAATAGATAATGAAGAATGTCATATTCCAGAAACAAAGAATGTTATAAAAGAAGATACAGAAATAATAGAAATGGATAATACAAATAAAGATATAGAAATAGAAACAGATAAGAAATATATTATAATAAGAAATACTCATGATAGTAATATTAAAATTGAAAGTGATATTAATAGTGATGTTACAATAGAAAATAGTGAAAATATCGCACTTGATGGAGAATATGAGCACTATGGAACTATTCAATTCATTAATTGTAAGAGTAATAAAGAAACTCTATTTAATAATCAAGATAATAGATCAAAAATTAGATGTGCTAGATCAATATCAATTAATAAATGTGAGAATATTAATTTTAAAATTGATAAAATTAAAAAGTCAATAGAAGTTATTGATAGTAAAGTAAGTATTATGATGATACCAAAAGATAATGAACTAAACGGTGACACAATACATATTGAAAACTCTGAGTTATATAATTTTGGCTTATATGTATCATGGAAAAAAGCAATTTTAATTAATAGTACTGAAATTCATAAGATCGTTCCACACTGTAAAGAAGAGCTTGTAATGAAAAGAGTAAATGACACACAATTAATGTTAGACCAATCTTTGAAGAAAGTTGAAATGGAAGAATGTAGTGGAATTGATATTAAGAGTGATGTTAAAGGAAAAGAAGTTAAAATGGTAAGATGTCATAATATAAAGATAATTGATACATCAAATTCAATCAACCAGATTGAATGTGATAATATTGAAGTAATAACAGAACAACAAAATGAAATGATGAGAGGATTTGGAATGATGGGAGGATTTATTCATAATAATATGCCAATGAGAGGATTTGGAAATGGTAATAATATGCCAATGGGAAGATTTATTCCTAATAATATGCCAATGGGGGATGATTTGGCGATGGATTCGGTATTTAGTCAAGAAAGTAATGATGATGAATAACTTGATTCATTTTTGATAAATTTGATTGATTAAAATAAAAGATTAAACAAACAATAAACAATGTTATGATTGGTGAATGATAAATGATATTCAATAAATAAAATCAAATTTAAAATAACTCTTCATCAATAATTCATTTATTGATATAATAAGTTAAACATAAAAAAGTTTATCATCAACAAAAATACAATTCAATTATTAATGTAATAACACTTATCTTCATTGATAAAGAGAATAAAGAAATTAAATGTTTATAATGATGATTAAACTAGAGTATGAGAATAAAAGAATAAAAAAGAAAGAATGTTAATTAATAGATTGTAAATGTTCTACACCAACTTGCTTTCCAAAATTAATAGCCTTTTCCTGTTTCTTTATGTCTTTCTCAACAATACCTTCTCCATCACATCCAACCATATATAACTCATTATATGCAATATGGTACAAGTTAGCAGTTTCTTTAATTGCATAAGCACCTCTTTCACAAAAACTCTCTTGAACATCAGCACAATTCACTATACATACAAATCTTTTATGTTTAAACATTGGAGTAAGTTTTTGCTTTAATCCATTATTATCCCAATCATATGAAGGAACAAAACGATCTAACAATGTTTTAATTGGTCCTGGCATATTAAAATAATAAATTGGAAATGCAAAAACAACAATCTCAGTGTTTAAAATGTCTTTCTCTAATTCAAATGTTTCATCCTTTTGGACACAATAAAAATCATCTTTGTTTCTACATTGTAAACACCCATAACATGTTGCTGGATTCATTCGAGGTACATTAACAATCCTCTCTTCTATTTCCATTTCTTGTTTTAATCCCTCCAGAAATTTATTGATAAGCCATGCAGAATTACCATTATTGTTCCAACTTCCATTCAATACAAGTACGTGTGTCTTTGCCATATTATTAACGAATGTTTCATTCAATCTTTTATTTAATTTTTCAAAAAACAAAATACCTCATCATTCAACGAAAACATACTTTATTTCCATCTTTTCGTTTCTATTTATCTCCTCATCACAAAAAAATGTTAAAATTGTATTATTTACTATGTCATTGTTCTTAATTTGTGTTTGATAGTTCTACTTGGTACTAATTGGTATTTCTTATGCAATTATACATCAACTTCTTTTATTCTCATTGAGATTCTCTACAAATAATGTAGAAACATATTTTACGTTTAGTTAATTATAACAGTTATAAAAACAACCTAACCAAGACTTTTAAGTAACAAACAAAGAACAAAACTCAGATTATGTTATATTCCTTCTCAAGATATATTCTTCTTTTGATACAAAATGATTTTATAATTCATTTCTTTATCAAGAAAGTTTGTAAATAAAATAATAGAATGTTTTTCTTTTTAGTACTATGTTATGGTTGTTTGTTTAAAAATTAGATGTGTATTGTTCTTTTATTTAACTCAATGCCTGAAAACCAACCAGAGAACGATATGTACAATCTGTACAGATTACAACTTTTCGTTTTTTTGAGTAAAAAACCTCATTAAATCTTCATCAAAGCTCTTCAACTACCAACCTTCTTCATCTCATCAACACTTCTTCAATTGAACATTCAATCCTTATCAAATTCAGAAACTATGCTCTTCTTCATTTTTTTCTGGGGATTTTTCTCTTATTGATTCATCTCTTTTAGATGAGCTTTTTCTAGAATCACTATAACGGTGAGAATGATGTCTATCATCTCGTGATGTACTTCTAGATGATGGACTTTCAGAAGAATGATAATGACGATGGTAATGATGTCGTCTTTCATATGAATCACTTCTTGATCTAGAAGAATGTTCTCTTCTATGAGAAGATCTATGACGAGAATAACTCCTTCCTCTTCTTCTTGAAGATGATTTTTGTTGTTTATGATATCCACTACAATCAATTAATTATTAATATAAAATATAAGTATATTTAATAACAAACAATTTATAGTTTTTGTCTGATACTTTTGATTGTAATCCTCTATCCCATTTCAATATAATTGGTCGTCCTTCTAATTCTTTTCCTTGTAACCTATAATATTATTTCATTATTCTTTTTTTTTCATATATTAATAATTCTGTCATTACAATGTTTATTAATTATTATCAATAACAAACTTATTCTTTATTTCCAATGCTTGTTCATGAGTTTCAAATGCCACAAAACCAAACCCTTTTGTTTTCCCTGTATTTTTATCTATAACTATAGTGATTTTACATTCATCACATTGAATGAAATTCTTTACATCTTTTTCTGTACTTGAATAAGGAATATTTCCAATATAAAGATTAGTGTATTCATTATCATCTTGATCAGTTTTATCTCCCATATGAAATCTAACAAATCTTCTATTTAAGTTCTCTTTTTTGTTTTTTTTTGGTTTTAAAAACATTTTAGAATATTGAAAAGTATTGAAATATACTTTTAGAATCTAACATTCATTCAATAATATTTCTTTGAATTTCATTGATTCTTGATTATAATAAAAGTAATAAACAGAATATAATAAAAATAAACCATGTAAAGTTAAACTCTTAATGCTTGAATTTGATTGCCAACAGAAGCACAAACCCATTCTGGATATAATGTTGCCCATACTATGTTATTTACTTCAGCTTCAGCTTCATATTGTAATACTTGAGGATCAGCTCCTTCAGCAATAGGTGCAATATCCCAAATAAGAGCTTTATGATCATCACTTGCAGAACATAATTGTGTAGCTTTATTAGGTGCCCAAGAAATAGCATTAACACTATTTCTATGAACTTTTAGTTGAGTATAAGGAATAGCAGGTTGACGAACATCAATAATAATTACTTTATCACTATCCATAGCAAATGTAGCTATGAAATTTGGATCAAATTTATTCCATTGAAGTCGTAATAAAGGAACAAGACCTTGTGATTCATATAAAATAGTTGAATGTTCTAATGAACGTAAATCAAACATTCTTAATGATCCATCACCACCTACTGTTCCAAAAATATCAGGATTAGCTGCAAATGAAACATCAAAAACTTCTTTATCATGTGCAATTAATTTTTTTACTAATTGACCAGTTTCTACTGACCAAACTGAACAAGTAGTATCAATTGAACATGAACATACACGATCAATATTAATTGTATTCCAATCAAATGATGTAGATGGTGAAAAAGTTTCTGTTGATGAATTTAATGTTGTTTTACATTTTAAATTAGATGAATCAGGTGATATTTCATAAATACGTAAATTATCTCCTGAAGTTATTAAAAGATCATTTTGTTGATTTAACGATGGTGGCATAAACATAACTTTTGTTGGAGGATATGGTTGGTCTATTTCAGCAGATTTCTCTAATGAATCAGTTGATTCATTTAATTGAACTATTTGAATATGATTAATATAATCGTCTATAAATGATGTACATGCAATTCTTCTTGGTTTATCATTTCTATTACTCCAAGAAACTGAATAAACTGTCCATGGAGCTTCATATTTATATAAAGATTTTTGAAAAGCATCTGAGGTTGCCATTTACTGTTTTCTTCTTTTTACTTTTTTATTTTTTTCTTTTTAGAAAAAAAATAAAATATATTTTTTATTTTATTATATTTTTATAATTAATTATATTATTTTAAATTTTAGAAAAATTATTAAAATTTCTTTGTTTTAAACTTGTTTTACTTTAAATTATTTTCTTATATTCTTTCTTTTTTGTATTATTGAAGATTTAAACAAGTTAGTCTTCTTCAAAGAACAATCGTTTATTTATTATATTATTCATTTGTTAATTCATTCTGGTGAATTATAAATCCCACCTGCTAATAATAAATTTCTACGTGTAAATTGAACATCAATAACTGGAGTATCTTTAGTATTATATTGTTTAATTAAATAATTATCTGCACTATTCATTGCTAATTTATGTTTACTTTCTGTTTCATGTAATGCTTCTTGAATATTCCAAAGACTAATATAATTTTCATTACAACATGTAACAAGAATAATACTATAAAACTTAAATAATTTTCTCTTCCTTTCTTTAATAAAATTTATTCCATTTTAATAACTTTATACTTAAAATTAGATAAAAATAACAAACTCATCACATCTTTCTTTTGATACTGCATTAGAAAATGCCATAGAAATAATTGGTTGATTACTTGTTTTGAGCATTTTAATTTTTTTAACATGTTCTCCATATTTAATATCCCATAATATAACTGACCCTTTTTCATCTCCTGATGCAAGATATCTTCCTGTTGAACTAATAGCCAATGAACTAATACTTGCATCATGTCCTGTTAAATCTGCCATTTTCTTTCCTTTTCCAACATCCCATATTTTTATTGTTTTATCTGCTGACCCTGTGATAACCATCAATGCATCAGGAGTGAATACTGAACATGTAACATCTTCATTATGTCCACCATCTCCTCCAAATATACGTACACTTTTATTTTGTTTAGATGTCCATAATCTAGCTGTTCTATCATATGATGAACTCAACATATAATATTCTAATGGACAATACTGTACATCCCAAACTGGTCCATCATGTTCCTAATAAATAAATGTTTTTTGTTTATACAAATTATTATTATATTAATACACAAACATTAAATGACATGATACAAGATGGATAATCTAATGACCAAAGTCTTACTGAACAATCTTCTGAACCACTTACAAGCCATTTAAAATCAGGTGAATTATTAGTACTAAACACAGGACCACAATGACCTAGTAATTTTGCTTGTGGATTCATTCCATTAACAATTTGTGTTTTTTTAAAGTCATATAACCGAATTGATGAATCTGAACATCCAATAGAAATTAAATGACCATCATCACTAAAATTAATTGAATTAACAATATTTTGAGAATTAAAAAAAGTAAAAAATGCTGTTGATGAAGAGATTCTTCATCAATAAGAATTCGATTTTGTTCATCTTCATATATTCGTTCTTGTGTTTTTTGACTGAATTTAAAGTAAGTGTATTCAGATGGTTTTTGAATAATGTTTTCTGTGTAAGGTAACATTCTTATTTTTCTCTTTTTCAGTTTTTTATTTAAATTTTTTCTCTTTTTATTTTGTGATAATTTCTTTATTTTTATTGAAAAAGATTGAATGTACTTTCTTTCTATCTGAACACTATTGTTATTATCATATCCTTAGAGTAAATTCTTATGAGTAAATCAATTCTAAATGAAAGTGATTTCTTTTATTATTATAATAGATGTATTATGATAATAAGAAATATTATATAAAAATGAATGAAAAGAGTTGAAGTTAAAGATCATCAATATTAATATCATCTAATTCATCGTCTCCTTTATGCATTAAAGTGACTTTAGTTTCATTCTTACTTTCATTGATTTGATCAATCATTGAAATTAATCCACCCTCATTGATTTTTCCAGTCATTTGTCCACGTTGACACATCATCAAAATCATATCACCTACTTGTCTTGCTTTTTCTGGTTTAACAAGAGCAATACTAGCAACTTACAGTTAATCCCCATTTTAAATGAAATACAAAAAAACATTACAAACGTCTTTCTTTTGCTGCTGGTTCAAGAACAGAATCAATAATTTGTTGTCTTTGTTCTTCTTGTTGTCTAATTTATTACTACTCTTTGGTTTTTGTATTACAACCATATAACAAACCTCTT